TGTGTGTGTGTGTGTGTGTGTGTGTGTGTGTGTGTGTGTGTCTAGGGCTGGGTGAAATTCACTGCAACACTCACATCTTTTTCACCTTCTGATAGCTCAGCGCACTCAGACCAACATCAGGCATCGGAGAAAATTCTCTCCCAAAGAATACAGCTGGCTCCTGCTGCAACACCCTTCTTACCACGTTGGGAGACTTTAGAAGCTTGCTGGGTTCTTTGTCACACACAGACACACAAAACCCAGCACTTTCATCAGACACAGACTTTAGAAGCCAATGTTCTGCAATATCGCAATTAAAATTTGAGAAGACCACCATCAAGGCACTACTAGATGAAGCGTGAGAGGTGCAATACTAAGAAACCTAATTTGAATAACGACAAGTAAATTAATCTTGGACACACGGAATGCTGCAGTTGTGGATGATAGCTTTCCTTTCGTAACCTTTCCTCTCACTCTCCCCTCCCAGACCACATCCCCTACTAGTCCCTCTTCCTTTACCAACTGACACTTCCAGAATTTTCTAGACCCCACCCACATATATCTTCTCCCTACATGTGAACCAGCAGTAACTAATACCAGAGAAGACAGTCACAGCTACCCCTCTCCAAAGGCCATATTCTATCATGAAGTCTACCTTTCCCAGATCTTTATAACAGCATCATAGCCTGAGCCCAACTTTCTGGGGATGGATTACACTGCTTGACAGCTACTAAACTAGTGGCTAAGACAATCCCTAAACTCTGGAGGTGAGAAAGCTCAGGAGAGGTGAGCTCTGTCATAAAGATCACCTCACTGATTTCAAACTTCCTTCCACTAAAAGCACCTTTGAACTCTGTCCCTTCAGCCTGTTTGGGCTCTTCCCTCTCTTTCTCTACCCCTCTCAAGCAGCAGGCTGTTTTTAACCCTAAGAGCTTGGGACTGAAATATACAGGTGCCAGATCACTAAGCCCAAGTTTACAACTCAGTTCTCAGACTTTTACACCTTGGTGGATTCTTTGTCTTCAGAAGAGGTTAATAAAGCACATTTAAATCTTGCTTTTTACTAAACCCTGGCATATCATCAGAAAGACTGAGGGCAGAGAAAACCACAGGGCCGAATATTTCCTTGGGTTGGAGAACACTGGAGTGAAGTTTAATACAGATCAGGTGCGTTTGAGTAGGACATGGCCAGGGGACAGTTTGAAACTATTGCTTTACATATGATCATTGACATTCCTGTGTACTGATGCTATAGTAAATCATAAGGAATCTGAAACCTGTGGTATAAAGTCTTCCTGCAAGATAAACTTGAGATTGTATGCCTAATTAGTTGTTTGTTTGTTGCTATTGCTCCATTATGGTGGGTTACTAGTGTAGTGCCTGAATTGTAGTATGATGAGTAGGACCCTTTTTCTTTCTCAGCACATCAAACATTTCATATGTACTATGTATTTATAGGGGCACTTTATTTGGCTTTGTAGGTTTGTTTTAGGTCTTTCCTCAGATCAACACTGAGTATAAAGTACTACATGGAGTAGGGTGGCAGCATGAGTTGGTGCTTGACCTTGCTGTATCTAATCTACATATCCCTTTCCCATATAGCTCGATGGTTTCTTAAAGGCAGAAGCCTTACTTAGATTTTTTTTCTAAACCTAATTTGGGGTTGAAATCATAGTGAGGATTCAGGACATGTCTGTTAAATGGATGATTCATTGGTGATTTCTGGTTAGGGTGTCTTTTTTGCGTGTGTTGCTTTTTACAGGATATGGTATTTAGTATGATTGATTATAACCGAAGAGGCTCTTTTCTAATTGAACAATACTGAAGTAAAGGAGAAGAGCTAAATAAAATATCTTCCACTAGGCATACCTGGAATGGTGACCATTTCCAGAGTCTTGATCCCTGATGTCCCCGAACTGGCTATGTTGTATAGGGTATCTGACTAGGCTAACTAAAAGATTGAGCATTAGAGTGGGTGCGTGCCTTGGACTATGAAATATGGTGCCTAAACCCCGTTACCAACATTTACTCAGGTTCCATTAAAAATAAAGTCCATTTAAGTCAGCATAGAGCTCCTTCTTCTATTTTAACTATGCATGTATTCTGGAGAGGCAAATAAGTGGAAATCTGAGAGATGTGGCAAAATTAAAGGTCTTATCCCTCCTGTTTTACCCCTGCATTTTCAACCATTTTTGTTTGAGAATACATTGTAGTACTAGAGTGGGAGCCCTTTACCCCTTGAACAGTGCCCCAATTCCCATAAACCCTCCATTTTAGAATAATTTTAAGAAGAAATTGATGCCTTTCCAAGTCTTAGAAGTTGCCCACCTCCCCCACCTTTGCCACTTTGGTAATGTGAGAAGCCCAAATAGAAATATTTCTAATAATCTACTAAAAGTAAAGAAATGACATGGGTAACACTATTTATGGAGAAGATAAAGGATTCAGACAATAAATTTGGATGAAATTTAAATGAAAATTTGCTATTTTTCACTTGCTGTATTGTCCTAAACTTCAATTAAATATAGGATTGGGGGTTTAAAAAGTTAATACTTTGAAATGAATCACTGGGTCTGAGAGTTCAGGATCATGGTCTTGGAGGACTCCAAGATCAATTGGCTTAACTGTGCATCTTAAGTGTACATCTTACTTTGAAGAGTAGCATCTAGGGTCTTAAAAGCTAACGAGTGGCTACCTAAAGTACAACTACTGGTCTCTTTCAATCTAAAGGAAAGAAGGGTAATGAAATGGAAGACATATGGAAACAATTGGTCCAATGAACTAATGGACCACATGAACATCAGCCTTCATGACCCTAAGACCAGAACTAAATGGTACCTGGTTACCACTATTAGGTGCTCTGAAAGGATCATATTAGAAAGTACTGGATCGTGTGGAAAGAAAAGGTGAAACAAAATTTTAAAATTATGAAAGATACCAGCTTTCTGGCCTGATAGAGACTGATGAAGCCTCCAAAATTATTGCCCTTGTTCCCTTTTTGGGTCTGTGACTCAACTTTCAGCCAAACAATATACAGGAGAATAATAACAGTATTGAGGTGAACACACCTTAGAATAATTGATCATTTGGGATCCAGGAAGCAGGATTTACCCAAGAAGAAAGTTGATAAGGGTTAGAAAAGAAGTAGAAATGGAGACAAGAAACACAAGGATAATGTGTTACATTGAGGAGATTGCAATGAAAGAGATAAAACAGAATGTGTATGAGTTGTTGAATGCAAAACTGATTTTCTGCTCTGTAAACTACCCAACTCTCTCTCTCTCACACACACACACAGATATATATATATAATTTTATTGGGGTTCATACGACTCTTATCAAAATCCATACATCCATCCCTTGTGTCAAGCACATTTCTACATTTGTTGCCATCATCATTCTCAAAACATTTGCTTTCTACTTGAGCCCTTGGTATCAGCTCCTCATTTTTCCTCTCCCTCCTTGCCCCCCTCCCTCATGAACCCTTGACAACTTATAAATCATTATTATTAATGTCTTTTGAGTTTTAAAATTTTTTTGAAGTATTTTCCCTCACTTGAGCCTCAAAAAATATATATATAAAGCAAGCAAGTCTGAACTTCCACCCAACTCATCCTCCACCCTCACCTTCACAGATGAAAAATACAAGTGAGATTCAGTGATATATTTGGACTACATAATAACTAGTGGTGAAATGAGCATTTAGAACACGTGTCACATGACTCCAGGCTGAGGGAGACCAGACAGAGCACAGTGCTGAGCTACGGGATGTTAGACAAAAACAAATTCATGACCATCTAGTCGATTCTGATTCATATTGACCCTATAGGATAGGGTAGAACTGCCTTATAGTATTTCTAAGACT